CATCTACAGAAAGTTTATAACCTATCCCGGGTCTTCCATCCATTAGCAGTTGTTTTAAATACTCTAAGTACCTCAAAAAAATTTTTGTTTGAGACACTTGAAATAAAGTGATGCATTACCAACATTCTAATTTTGAGGAGCCAAATAATAAAATAAACATCAGATAACTAAAGTAAAGGAAGAATATAGACATGGCTCCATTGCAAGTTCATTTTCAAGTTGATACAGTGGACCTGAACAGACTGAAAGACGATGAGAAAGACCTGGCACATCAGAGACTAGCCACCATTGCTCAGTGTAAAAATGAAATTTACTGACAATTAGAAAGAATTAATACGGTATGGGGAAGGTAGCTTGATTTCCCGTGAACGGAAGTTTCCTATCCCTGTAACCAAGAGTAGATAATAGAAGAGAGTGTCCTACCATAGATACTATATACCCCTGGATATGAAACACGGCCCGACCGGATGTTCTGAGGCTTGTTTCACCGGAAATACGTCATATTACGTTTTCATTCAGAATAAAAATAAAACAATGATAAAAAGTATTATTATTATTGCTAATAAAAGTGTGATTTTATGTACAATAATACAATAAAACTTGACATTTATCATGCATTATAATTGCTGAAACTTTCCTTTTCTTTTAGTATATGCAGTCTACCAATGCATGACTTTCCCATCTCTTGTCACCTAAAAATGATGAATTTGACAACACAATTGCACCAAAACTAAAAATACACTCCTTTTGAGAATAGGCCCACTACAACTACCTATTCTCAAGCTACAAAACCATATAGAAAAAGTTCCAATTAAGTCAAGTATTACAAAGAAAAATTGGCTAGAAAGGTGGGGCTTGAAAAACCAAGATTTAGGAAATAACAGCTCTTTTACTTAACACAAACTCTAAATAATAGCCCCACTACAACTAGTAAACAATAACCTATCAGTACAATAAAAAATGTTGGCCTAATTCAACAGAGTTAAACTAAAAAAGTGGCTTGAGTGAAATGTACACAACAAGTAGGCTATGACATCCATTGTAGAACTATAATATGCACTCAAACTATCG